CAGATCACGGATTCGGTCTGAGGATATTCTTCAACGATGATTAAGTCCATTAAGCACCTATTCGGGCGGATATCTTCCGGGTAAATTTTTGGCAGATCCCAAAGACGTACCATCACCGATTTCCGGCGATTTTCCGAAATGTCATTTTCTTTCGATTTTGGAGGCTACAGATCACGGATTCGACCCGAGGCTATTCTCCACATATATTGAAGTCTATTGATCATATTCTCCGTCAATGCTTAAGCCCATTAAGCATCGATTTGGGCGAATTTATTTTGGGATGTCATTTTCGTAATATTTTAGACTATTTTTTTCGAAAGGCCATTTACACTGGATTTTGAAGGCTACAGATCACGGATTCGGTCTGAGGATATTCTTCAAAGATGATTAAGTCCATTAAGCACCGATTCGGGCGGATATCTTCCGGGTCAATTTTTGGCAAATCCCAAAGGGGTACCATCACCGATTTCCGGCGATTTTTCCGAAATGCCATTTTCTTTCGATTTTTGAGGCTACAGATCACGGCTTCAACCCGAGACTATTCTCCACATATAATGAAGTCTATTGATCCTATTCTACGCAAATGATTAAGCCCATTAAGCATCGATTTGGGCGAATTTATTTTGGGATGGCATTTTCGTAATATTTTAGACGATTTTTTTCGAAAGGCCATTTATCATGGATTTTGAAGGCTACAGATCACGGATTCGGTCTGAGGCTATTCTTCAACGATGATTAAGTCCATTAAGCACCGATTCGGGCGAATATCTTCCGGGTCAATTTTTGGCAGTTACCAATGGGGTACCATCACCGATTTCGGGCGATTTTTCTGAAATGTCATTTTCTTTCAATTTGGGAGGCTTCAGATCACGGATTCAACCCGAGGCTATTCTCCACATATAATGAAGTCTATTGATCCTATTCTCCGCCAATGATTAAGCCCATTAAGCATCGATTTGGGCAAATTTATTTTGGGATCGCATTTTCGTAATATTTTAGACGATTTTTTTTGAAAGGCCATTTATCATGGATTTTGAAGGATACAGATCACGGATTCGGTCTGAGGCTATTCTTCAACGATGATTAAGTCCATTAAGCACCGATTCGGGCGAATATCTTCCGGGTCAATTTTTGGCAGTTACCAATGGGGTACCATCACCGATTTCGGGCGATTTTTCTGAAATGTCATTTTCTTTCAATTTGGGAGGCTTCAGATCACGGATTCAACCCGAGGCTATTCTCCACATATAATGAAGTCTATTGATCCTATTCTCCGCCAAATGATTAAGCCCATTAAGCATCGATTTGGGCAAATTTATTTTGGGATGGCATTTTCGTAATATTTTAGACGATTTTTTTCGAAAGGCCATTTATCATGGATTTTGAAGGCTACAGATCACGGATTTGGTCTGAGGTTATTCTTCAACGATGATTAAGTCCATTAAGCACCGATTCGGGCGAATATCTTCCGGGTCAATTTTTGGCAGTTACCAATGGGGTACCATCACCGATTTCGGGCGATTTTTCTGAAATGCCATTTTCTTTCGATTTTGGAGGCTACAGATCACGGATTCAACCCGAGGCTATTCTCCACATATAATGAAGTCTATTGATCCTATTCTCCGTCAATGATTAAGCCCATTAAGCATCGATTTGGGTGAATTTATTTTAAGATAGCATTTGCTTAATATTTTTGAGGATTTTTTTCGAAAGGCCATTTACCATGGATTTTGATGGCTACAGATCACGGATTCGGTCTGAGGCTATTCTTCAATGATGATTAAGTCCATTAAGCACCGATTCGGGCGGATATCTTCCTGGTCAATTGTTGGCATATCCAAAAGGGGTACCATCACCTATTTCGGGGATTTTTCCGAAATGCCATTTTCTTTCCATTTTTGAGGCTACAGGTTCGAAAAAACCGCCCAAAATAGGTGATCGTACCCCTTTTAAAACTGCCCAAAATGGACCCGGAAGCAATCTGAGCAAATGGGTGCTTAATGGGCTTAACCATCGTTGAAGAATTGCCTCAGACCGAATCCGTGATCTGTATTCCTTCCAAATCCTAGGAAAATGGTCTTTCGAAAAAAATCGCCCGAAAAATTTTCAAGATGTCATCCCATAATGAATTAGACCAAATCGGTCTTTACTGGACTTAATCATCGGTGGAGAATAGGATCAATAGACTTCATTACCGATGGAGAACAGCTTGGGGCTGAATTCGTAATCTGTAGCCTCCAAAATCGAAGGAAATGAGCATTTCGAAAAAACCGCCCGAAATTGGTGATGGTACCCCTTTCGAATATGCAAAAAATGGACCTCGAAGAAATCCACTCAAATTGGTTCTTAATGGACTTAATCATCGTTGAAGAATAGCCTCAGGCTGAATTTGTGATCTTTAGCCTTCAAAATCCAAGAAAAATGGTCTTTCGAAAAAAATTGCACAAAAATTACGAAAATGCCATCCCAAAATAATCTGGCCCAATTCGGTGCTTAATGGACTTAATAATCGGTGGAGAATAGGATCAATAGACTTCATTATCGGTAGAGAATAGCCTCAGGCTGAATCCGTGATCTGTAGACTACAATATCGAAAGAAAATGGCATTTCGGAAAATCGCCTAAAATCGATGATGGTAGGCCTTTCGAATCTGGCAAAAATGGACCAGGAAAAAGTCCGGTCAACTCTGTGCCTAATGGACTTAATCATCGTTGAATAATAGCCTTCTGACGAAACCGTGATCTGTAGCCTTCAAAATCAATGGAAAATGGCCTTTCGAAAAAAATCGCCGAAAAAATTAAAAAATGCAATCCCAAAATAAATTGTCCCAATTTGGTGTTTATCGGAATTATTCATCGGTGAAGAATATGATCATTAGACTTCATTAACGGTGGAGAATAGCCTCGAACTGAATCCGTAATATGTACTCTCAAATATTGAAAGAAAATGGCATTTCAGAAAAATTACCTAAAATCGGTGATGGTACCCCTTTCGAATCTGAAAAAAATGGACATGGAAGGAATCCACTCAAATTGGTGCTTAATGGACTTAATCATCGTTGAAGAATAGCCTCAAGCCAAAGTTGTGATATGTAGCCTTCAAAATCCAAGGAAAATGGTCTTCCGAAAAAATTGCCCAAAAATTACGAAAATGCCATACAAAAATAATCTGGCGCAATTCGGTGCTTAATGGACTTAATAATCGGTGGAGAATAGGATCAATAGACTTCATTATCGTTGGAGAATAGCCTCGGTTGAATCCGCGATCTATAGCCTCCAAAATAGAAAGAAATGGTCATTTCGAAAAAATCACCCGAAATTGATGATGGTACCCCTTTCGAATCTGCCAAAAATGGAACCGGAAGAAATATGCTCAAATCGGTGCTTAATGGACTTAACCATCGTTGAAGAATAGCCTCAGGACGAATTTGTTATCTATAGCCTTCAAAATGCAAGGAAAATGGCCTTTCGAATAAAAAGCAACCAAATAATTACGAAAATACATCACAAAATAAATTGGTCCAATTCGATGCTTAAGTGACTTAATTCTCGGTGGAGAATAGCATCGGGCTGAATCCGTGCTCTGCAGCCCAAAATCGATAGAAAATGGCATTTTGAAAAAATCGCCCAGAATCGGTGATGGTACCCCTTTCAATCTGCCAAAAATGGACCCGGAAGAAATATGCCCAAATCGGGGCTTAATGGACTTAACCATCGTTGAAGAATAGCCTCAGGCCGAATCCGTGATATGTAGCCATCAAAATTTAAGGAAAATGGTCTTTTGAAAAAAATCGCACAAAATATTACGAAACTGCCATACCAAAATAAATTGACCCAATTCGGTGCTTAATGGACTTAATCATCGGTGAAGAATAGGATCAATAGACTTCATTATCGGTGGAGAATAGCGTCGGGCTAAATCCTTAATCTATAGCCTCCAAAATCGAAAGAAATTAGTGTTTCTGAAAAATCGCCTGAAATTGGTGATGATACCCCTTTTCAATCTGCCAAAAATAAACCCGGAAGAACTATGCCCAAATTGATGCTTAATGGAGTTAACCATCGTTGAAGAATAGCCTCAAGCCGAATCTGTGATCTGTAGCCTACAAAATCCAAGGAAAATGGCCTTTCGAATTAAATCATCCAAAAATTTAGGAAAATGCCATCCCAAATAAATTGGCCCAATTCCGTGCTTCATGGACTTAATCCTAGGTGGAGAATATGATCAATAGACTTCACTATCGGTGGAGAATAGCCTCGGGCCGAATCCGTGATTTGTTGCCTCCAAAATCGAAAGAAAATGGTATTTTGGAAAAATCGTCTGAAACCTGTGATGGTACCCCTTTGGAATCTGCCAAAAATGGACCCAGAAGAAATCCTCCTAAATCGGTGTTTAATGGACTTAATCATCGTTGAAGAATAGCCTCAAGCCGAATCAGTGATCTGTAGCCTTCAAAATCCAAGGAAAATGGTCTTTCGAAAAAAATCGCCCAAAAAATTACGAAAATGTCATCACAAAATAAATTGGTCCAATTCGATGCGTAAAGGACTTAATCGTCGGTGGAGAACACGATCAATAGGATTCAATCATGTTGCTACATTGTATGTCAGTTGGAGCAGCTCTTTGGCCGAGTTTTGTGTTTTGTTTTATAGGGACGAGTAGACTCAGGTCGAATCCGTAATGTGTAGCTTTTAAAATTAAGGAAACTGACCTGTCAAAAAAATCGTAAGAAATCTGTGATGGTATCCCTTTTGATTCTACAAAAAATAACCTCGAAAAAAATACGCTTAATAAACTTAAGAGTTAATAGCATTTCGTATCCATCTACTATGGCAAGTTAACAAACATACCTCTCTACTATTATTATTTATTTCGCACGACCGTAACTCTCGATTATCAAAATGTAACTAACGCAGCCTTCCATTTCATCCGAAATTTCGTTAGTTCGCCATTAAATAGGTATAAAATGACCAAATTATCCCTTAATAAATAATTATTTACGAATTCGACATGAGGCAATTCGTCCCTGTAAAACAAATCACAAAACTCGGCCACAGAGCTGTTCCAACTGACAGACAGTGTAGCAACATGATTGAATGAATGCGCTTCTCATCAATAAACAGGAGCTGAAGAGAGAGGAAACCATATACAAAATGGAACACTTCAAGCCAGAGTTTGTTTACAGCCAAAACTCGAGTCATTGATAACTTCAAAAATAAAAAGCACTAGGTTCTCAATAAAAGTAAAATAACAAATACTACTACTAGCCATGATCTTACAACAATGAACATAGTCAGTCAGGTGAGACTATCTACCTCCCCTGCCTCCAAACCGACCACCTCTGCGATGAAAAGGTTTCCTTCCGCGACCAGAACCCACATTGAAATTCTGACGGGGCTGGCTCCCGAAACTATTTCCCGATTGCTGAGGAGACTGACCAGTGCTGCCAGTGATGTTGGTTGATGATTGCACGCTGCTATTAACAGCCATCGTTGCTTGGTCTCGCATGTTCATGGTTGGGTTGGTTGGTTGAGGCAGAAAGCCCATTCCACCAACGTTGAAATTCTGAGGTGGCTGGCTGCTGAGACTATTTCCAGGTCTCTGGGGAGGAGGAGACTGACTGGTGTTACCATAATTGTTTGACGATGATTGCACGCTGCCATTAACATCCCTCATTCCTTGGTCTCCCATGTTCATGGCTGGGTTGGTTGGTTGAGGTGGAAAGCCTATCCCAAATGGTGATTGGTTGAAGCAACCTTGGTTCATAACTCCTGCTCCAGGTGCTGCTGCTGCTGGCCAATGCATGAAACCAGGGCCAGGGAAGAAATTGGGTGGCTGCCCTGATGGCATTACATTTGCAGGAAGGGACCCCTGGCCAGGGTTGAACTGCTGCGGAAATGGCATAATGTGCTGCATCACCATCTGCAGTGCATTCTGAATGTTACCAGGAAGAGGAGGGAAACCACCAAAATTTGGCGCTGCTGGATTCTGTTGATGTTGAGGAAATACCCCATTCGGCCAACTCCCAGGGAAATGGCCAGGGTTCTGCTGCTGCAACATTGGCGGGAAGGGTGGAACAAAAGCATTTCCATTATTACTCGGTGGAGCTGGAGCTGGAGCTGGAGGCAGATTATACTTATTTCCATTGTGTGGATTCTGATTAGTGTCCATTCGAGGTTGCCGCCATGGAGGTTTGTTGTTGTTACTATTACTGTTGCTGTTATTGGTGGTATTGTTGTTCCAATCCCTTTCTTGCCTATCTTCAACCTTCTTTTTATTCCTTTTCTTATTGTTGACAACTTCCTGGCCATTATTCATACCCCTCTTCGCCATTTTTTGCATCCTCCTGTACTCTGCCTCTTTCTCATCATCTGAAAACTCGGCCGGATCGGACAGTTCCTCATCATTCTCACCAGATGCATCATATCCTTTCTTGTACAGGCTTTGGTCACTCAGGACAAAGTCAGCAAACTCAGGAACAAAGGAGACTAGAGCACCTTCGCAAATGCCCTCGGGAACCTCACTGTCAGAATTGAATCTCACTATATAAAATGGGTTCTTCACAGGTCCAAATATTTCATCTATCAGCCCGAGTGGAGATCGTTTCTCAGTTAACCAAAGGATAGAACCCTCATTCAGAGGGTTGTGCTTCTCAGCCCCTTCTACAATGACTTGTGTACCAAGAACCTGATATGCCAAAAACCGATCATCTTCCTTAAAACCCAATTGTCCTCAAAACCAGAAAACCTCAAGGTAACAGTATATGCAGTTAAAAGAATAGGTAAGCCCAACGAGTTCTTACAGATGAGATAAGTCCAACAGGTTGTGGCTGATGATGGGGTAGCAGCACAGCATTGACAGGAGGAACATGTGGTAGGACCTGAAAATGTGAGAGGAAATGTTTAGTGCAATCACATTATCGATTAAAATTTCATTACTAGAGATTTCGAATAGAAGAGGAACAATACTAATGAAGAAAAAGCCTCAAACTTACAACAGTATCCTCCTATCATTTCATGAAAGAAGAATTGTCAAGTTAGAGAGTATGTCCCTAAACCGATTCCGCAAGTTTCAAAAACATGGTCAACCTTTCATTCAATATCAACTGAAAAACAAAACTATTTCATGCGTATAATACATCCAGCAAGCAAGAAAAAAGCCAAAACTTTTTAGTTTACCAAGACTCTAGTTCTCTTGTGATGTAAAGACTTCACCATTTTCAGGAAACAAAAAATTGTAAAGAGGCAATTCACATCACACAAGCATTTCACCTGCAGTTCGTTCTTTGATCTAATAGGGCCCTTCTCAACACCAACATCGGCATCATCTTCATCATCAACATCACTCCATTCCACCATTTTTTCAACCTCAACCTCAGTCTCGGTCTCGTCATCTTCATCATCTTTATCTTCACCTCCACCTACCACATTATCTCCATAACCATCTCTTATTTCACCCTCTTCCATCTCACCCTCTGCAATCTCAACTTCAGTCACTTGCTTTACCACCTCCAACTTAAGGTCCCTTCTCAGAATCGAACTATCCTTTTTCTCCTCCACTTCCTCGTCATCACTGCTGCTAGAGTCGGATGATGATGATGATGAGCTAGAATCTGACGAGCTACTTTCGCCGTCAGAATCCGAATCACCTTCAACGCCATTCGTAAAACTGACCACACCACCCCCAGTATCAACGGCAGAGCTCGGGCAGCTGATCAAGCTGCCAACATTAGGAGCCTCCACGCCATCACCGGTTGGCTCGATCTTCACCGCTACAGAGCTAAGAAATTCCTTCTCCGCATGTGCCTCCCTTATCTCTGCTTCACACTTCACATCAACAACCCCATCGTCATCGCCATTGCCAACCAAACTTACTCTTCCTATTTCCGCCTCTATAGAGCGGCGAAGACTATCCCCACTCTGCAACTCCAAAGGTTCCTTCTTTACCTGCCCCCTGTAATCCGAGCCTGCTTCAATCAGGTGAGTATCAACAGAAACTGAATGAGACCCATCCACCATTCGCTCACCAACAGTAGGAACTTCACAATCCATCCCCAACATATGCTCAAACTCCCGAATATCCACCTTGTCTAAGCTAGTGGCATCCAGCAGCAAGTTATCCTCAAACAGCTCCTTGATGGAGTCGAAATCGAGGAATGAATCGGCCAAAGACAAATCAACGAGCTTGGGGTCGCCGAGGGACTCCTTTTCGCTGGTATGGGGAGGAGGGGAAGCTGGATTGTTGGGGTCCTCTTCAATGGTGGGTCTGGAAAAGAAGTCCACCATCGCAAGAGAAAACAACAAGGGAACAGAAGTTGGGGAGGGAAGGCGAGCAGGGGAATTTCATAGCTTTGATGGAAAGAGGAAAATATAGAGGCGGATTTATATGAGTGTGGTTGTAGGTTTTCAAGTGGCGTATTTGAAGGGGTTTTTCTCTGTTCTTCTTCAGCGGCGGGGCTAGGCCACTAGGGTTTAGCGGGGGCATAAACCGGATGAAACGAGATCCGGAAAGAACAAACTCAACAAAGTTTAATGGCAAAAAGAGGTTAGTCAATTAAGTTTCCAAACCTTGGACCACCGAGGTGACAAGGGCCTGCTGCTTTTAGTGGGCCAACTAAGTTTGTATTGAAGGCCCATCAAGGCTCATCGTTTTATTATCCAAACGGCAAACAGAACAGCTAAACTGATGAGCATAAGGATGACATTGATGAAGGCGGTTGACGGTGGGAGTCGGTGACGTTTATCGGCGGGCAGTGGTAATGAGTGGCCGACGGCAGGGTGCGGACAATGACGGCAATGATGATGGAGCTATGGCCTGTGGGTCAAGTTTTTTTTATGGTTCTGTTTATTGAAATAACTATCTAGAAATAAAGATGAGAGAAGGATAAATAGATAATTTAAACGTTTAAATTAGGACGGTGTTTAGCAAGTTCCAATCGAAAATGCTGATTGCAGCTATCAAATGAGCAAGGTTGTCAAACCATTTTATATCATTGCTTCGGTTTAGCAAGTGTTATGGTTCAATCGGCGGTACGTACAACCAGCTTTTGTTTCTTCATGTTGAATTAATAAAACATGAAATATATGAAAAACCATCTTACAGTTGGTATTCATGTAAGTTTCATGACCCAAATCGGTTGAACACGCATTCCACGGGCATGATACAAACTTATTATGAGTGGCACGGTGTTTGGTTAGGAAAAACTTCGTTGGACATTCAGCTCGTTTACTACTAAAGCGAGCTTGAGTTAAGTCTTTTTCGGCTCGCAAAGCTCGTGAGCCAACTCAAATTAGTGACTTGTTGAGCTCAACTCATGAGCTAGCTTATGGATAATGGGCTTAATCATTGGAGGAGAATAGGATCAATAGACTTCATTATATGTGGAGAATAGCCTTGGGTTGAATCCGTGATCAGTAGCCTTAAAAATAAAAATAAAATGGCATTTCGGAAAAATAGCCCGAAATCGGTGACGGTACCCCTTTCGGATCTGCCAAAAATTGACCCGGAAGATATCCGCCCGAATCGGTGCTTAATGGACTTAATCATCATTGAAGAATAGCCTCAGACCGAATCCGTGATCTGTAGCCTTCAAAATCCATGGTTAATGGCCTTTCGAAAAAAATCGTCTAAAATATTACGAAAATGCCATCCCAAAATAAATTCTCCCAAATATATGCTTAATGTGCTTAATCATTGGAGGAGAATAGGATCGACAGACTTCATTTTATGTGGAGAATAGCCTCGGGTTGAATCCGAGATCTGTAACCTCGAAAATATAAAGAAAATGGAATTTCTGAAAAATCGCCCGAAATCGGTGATGGTACCGCTTTAGGATCTGCCAAAAATTGACCCGGAAGATATCTGCCCGAATCGGTGCTTAATGGACTTAATCATCATTGAAGAATAGCCTCAGACCGAATCCGTGATCTGTAGACTTCAAAATCCATGGTTAATGGCCTTTCGAAAAAAATCGTCTAAAATATTACGAAAATGCCATCCCAAAATAAATTCTCCCAAATATATGCTTAAAGTGCTTAATCATTGGCGGAGAATAGGATCGATAGACTTCATTTTATGTGGAGAATAGCCTCGGGTTGAATCCGTGATCTGTAGCCTCCAAAATATAAAGAAAATGGAATTTCTGAAAAATCGCCCGAAATGGGTGATGGTACCCCTTTAGGATCCCCCAAAAATTGACCCGGAAGATATCCACCCGAATCGGTGCTTAATGGACTTAATCATCGCTAAAGAATAGCCTCAGACAGAATCCGTGATCTGTAGCCTTCAAAATCCATGGTAAATGGCCTTTCGAAAAGGATCGTCTAAAATATTACGAAAATGCCATCCCAAAATAAATTCGCCCAAATCGATGCTTGATGGGCTTAATCATTGACGGAGAATAGGATCAATAGACTTCATTATATGTGGAGAATAGCCTCGGGTTGAATCCGTGATCAGTAGCCTTCAAAAACGAAAGAAAATGCCATTTCAGAAAAATCGCCCGAAATCGGTGATGGTACCCCTTTGGGATATGCCAAAAATTGACCCAGAAGATATTCGCCCGAATCGGTGCTTAATGGACTTCATCATCGTTGAAGAATAGCCTCAGACCGAATCCGTGATCTGTAGCCTTCAAAATCCAGTGTAAATGGCCTTTCGAAAAAAATCCTCTAAAATATTACGAAAATGCCATACCAAAATAAATCCGCCCATATCGATGCTTGATGGGCTTAATCATTGACGGAGAATAGAATCAATAGACTTCATTATATGTGGAGAATAGCCTCGGGTTGAATTCATGATCTGTAGTCTCCAAAATCAAAAGAAAATGGCATTTCGGAAAAATCGCCCGAAATCGGTGATGGTACCCCTTTGGGATCTGCCAAAAATTGACCCGGAAGATATCCGCCCGAATCGGTGCTTAATGGACTTAATCATATTTGAAAAATAACCTCAGACCAATCCGTGATCTGTAGCCTTCAAAATCCAGTGTAAATTCCCTTTGGAAAAAAATCGTCAAAAATATTACGAAAATGCCATCCCAAAATAAATTTGCCAAGTCGATGCTTGATGGGCTTAATCATTGAAGGAGAATAGGATCAATAGACTTCATTATATGTGGAGAATAGCCTCGGGTTGAATCCGTGATCTGTAGCCTCCAAAATCGAAAGAAAATGTCATTTCGGAAAAATCGCCCGAAATCGGTCATGCTACCCCTTTGGGATATGCCAAAAAATGACCCAGAAGAAATTCGCCCGAATCGGTGCTTAATGGACTTCATCATCTTTGAAGAATAGCCTCAGACCAAATCTGTGATCTGTAGCCTTCAAAATCCATGGTAAATGGCCTTACGAAAAGGATCGTCTAAAATATTACGAAAATGCCATCCCAAAATAAATTCGCCCAAATCGATGGATAATGGGCTTAATCATTGGCGGAGAATAGGATCAATAGACTTCATTATATGTTGAGAATTGCCTCGGGTTGAATCCGTGATCAGTAGCCTTAAAAATCAAAAGAAAATGGCATTTCGGAAAAATAGCCCGAAATCGGTGATGGTACCCCTTTGGGATCTGCCAAAAATTGACCCGGAAGATATTCGCCCGAATCGGTGCTTAATGGACTTCATCATCATTGAAGAATAGCCTCAGACCGAATCCGTGATCTGTAGCCTTCAAAATCCATGGTAAATGGCCTTTCGAAAAGGATCGTCTAAAATATTACGAAAATGCCATCCCAAAATAAATGCGCCCAAATCGATGGATAATGGGCTTAATCATTGGCGGAGAATAGGATCAATAGACTTCATTATATGTGGAGAATAGCCTCGGGTTGAATCCGTGATCAGTAGCGTTAAAAATAAAAAGAAAATGGCATTTCGGAAAAATAGCCTGAAATCGATGATGGTACCCCTTTGGGATCTGCCAAAAATTGACCCGGAAGATATCCGCCCGAATCGGTGCTTAATGGACTTAATCATCGTTGAAGAATAGTCTCAGACCGAATCCGTGATCTGTAGCCTTCAAAATCCATGGTTAATGGCCTTTCGAAAAAAATCGTCTAAAATATTACGAAAATGCCATCCCAAAATAAATTCGACCAAATATATGCTTAATGTGCTTAATCATTGGCGAAGAATAGGATCGATAGACTTCATTATATGTGGAGAATAGCCTCGGGTTGAATCCGTGATCTGTAGCCTCCAAAATATAAAGAAAATGGCATTTCTAAAAAATCGCCCGAAATCGGTGATGGTACCCCTTTGGGATATGCCAAAAATTGACCCAGAAGATATTCGCCCGAATCGGTGCTTAATGGACTTCATCATCGTTGAAGAATAGCCTCAGACCGAATCCGTGATCTGTAGCCTTCAAAATCCAGTGTAAATGGCCTTTCGAAAAAAATCCTCTAAAATATTACGAAAATGCCATACCAAAATAAATCCGCCCATATCGATGCTTGATGGGCTTAATCCTTGACGGAGAATAGAATCAATAGACTTCATTATATGTGGAGAATAGCCTCGGGTTGAATTCATGATCTGTAGTCTCCAAAATCAAAAGAAAATGGCATTCCGGAAAAATCGCCCGAAATCGGTGATGGTACCCCTTTGGGATCTGCCAAAAATTGACCCGGAAGATATCCGCCCGAATCGGTGCTTAATGGACTTAATCATATTTGAAAAATAACCTCAGACCAATCCGTGATCTGTAGCCTTCAAAATCCAGTGTAAATTCCCTTTGGAAAAAAATCGTCAAAAATATTACGAAAATGCCATCCCAAAATAAATTTGCCAAGTCGATGCTTGATGGGCTTAATCATTGAAGGAGAATAGGATCAATAGACTTCATTATATGTGGAGAATAGCCTCGGGTTGAATCCGTGAT